GATAAAACCAGTTTGTACCTCTCAAGTACCTCAGCCAATGGGGAAAGAGAGAAGGGAAATATGGCTGGAAATTGGGATAAAAAGGAGGCTGCATCTTCCAAAAATGTGAGAGACCCCAGGGAATGCCCCATGGCCTCTGCCTTTGTTGGAATAAAGCCAAAGGACTCCTCTGTCTCCTTTTTGGACACAAACCTCTGATGTTTGTGGGTTAATTTTCCTGACAGCTCTGGGTTCAATCCCATCCCCGGGATCTCCCTCTGACCCCAGCACACTCATTAACCACAGGGGGAAATCTCCAAAATTCCCATTTTAAAGGAGAACAAGAGGCTTTTCCACAGCACAAAAACCACCCCAGACAAGGTGCCTCAGCTACCAACACTGCTGGGGTTCCTGTGTTCACCTTAAGCCACATAAAGAAAGCCAAAAGCAATTTAAAATAGCTGGGTAAGGATGTGACACCAGGGCCTTCCAGCAACAGGAAATGTGGCTGTTCCTCCCTCCCCTGTTTGGCAGATCCCTCGTGGTCTGGGCTGTTTACTTGCCCTCACACACACTGATAACAGGAACACTCTTTTGCTCTTTTTTTGGTGCTGGTTTCCCCCTGGCCTGGAACATGTCCTGCAGCTGTGTTTACGATGCAGAGCCTTATTAGGCTGCGTTTCACCAGAGCCTAAATTAAAAAGTTTCATTTCTGAGGAGCTGGAAGCCTTCATAGGAGATGGGAGGTGTTTGGAAAATAAAAATATTTAAAGATACCATGATGGCTCTCACTGAAGTTCATGGGAATTTATCAGCGACTCTAATGAACAAAAATTAAAGCAGATGTTGAAAACCCAGAAGTTTGAGCTTTAGCTGAGATCCTCATGGGGAAACTTTCCAGCCTGCAGACACCACAAAGGGGATGGGAGCTCTTGCTCATGGCCATGGACAATTCCAGAAGTAATTCATGGGTCAAAGTCTCTTTTCCAAAGCAGACTTTGCCTCTGAAGCCACCACCAATCTTTGCAAAACTTTCCCCTATAGATATCCCTCACGTGGACAAGATAGAGCCAGGATTGTAATATGGAAGGAAGAGGCAAAGGGTGTTTTTACAACACCCCAGGGACAAAGTGAACACCAATAAACTGAGCTCCAGCCCCTCAAGCCTTGGGACAGGAGTCACAGCCACCCTGGCAGCACAAGGGTGGTGACAGGGATGGGGGATCTGGGACTGGGCTCCCCCAGCAGCCTCAAGCTGCTCTTGGGTGCAGCTCTGAGTGCCACGAGGAACCAAAAGCACCCTCAGATAGCTGAGAGCTCAGAACAGGCTGTGCCTCAGGGCCAGAGGGGAAAGCTGGGCTGGCACAGCTGAAACACAAAGTCTTGGAATCACAGAGCCCTGGAATGGTTTGGGTTGGAAAGAACCTTGAATCTTATCTTGTTCCTGTTCCAGGTTGCTCCAAGCCCTGTCTAACCTGGCCTTGGACACTTCCAGGGGTGGGGCAGGCACAGCTGCTCCGTGCCAGGGCCTGCCCCCCCTCACAAGGAAGGATTTCTTCCAATATCAAACCCAAATTTCCCTTTTTTCAGTTGAATCCATTCCCCCTTGTCCTGCCAGTCCAGTTCCTGATGAAGAATCCCTCCTGGTCCTTGTTCAGTCTTGTCTTTACCCACCCAAGAGGAGCAGCACGAGAAGCACCAACATCCCCTTTCCTCACCATCCCACAAGCCTCAACAGCAGCTCAGGTGGTTCAGAACCTCATCCTGCCCTGCACCTCTGCCCAGGTCAGAGCTGGAGCAGCCCAGGCTGGCAACAACCAAAGCAATCCCTTGGCCAAGGGGGCTGCAAACACCTCCATGGCCCAAAGGGCATCTCCTCTCCATGGGCAAACAGCTCAACAACCACCCCAGGAGACTTTGCTGGTTTCCCTTCACTCAAACCCTTCCACATCCCTCCTCAGACACACATTTGTGTCCCCAGCCATATCTAAAATGTGCACAAGCTGCACAGTTGCACATGTGCAGTAAATGTGCACATTTTACTTTATAAAATGTGCAATTGCACAGCCTGGAAATGCAGCACATGCATCTGAAGGGAGAGGCTGGCTGCAGGATGCAAGAGCTCCCTGCACAAAGGGCAGCAGTGCCAGGGAACGCTGCCAGCTCGGGGCTGGGTCAGGCTGTGTGCATTGCTAAACCTTGGCCTGACCTCTCACTGCATCTGGGGACAGGAAATACTGAAGGGAGCTAAAAACCTCCAGCCTGATCTTCAGATGCAATAGCAGAACTAGGCATGAAGGTCAAGGCAGGCAGATAAGGAGATGAAATAGCTGTGACCCACAGCTCATCTGTGGAGCCCAGCACATCCCATCCCCATCCTGGGACAGCACACAGGAGCTCAAACCCAAGAGCTGGGCTCGGGGTGACAACTCAGTAATGCCCAGCACCAGCAGCATTTTGACAGCATCCACACCCTGGATTGCAAGGTTTAATTAATACAGCCCTGGAGTGGGGTACAAAGGGGGAAAATAGGCAACCTTTGTGCCACCATCCAGGCTCTCTGCTCCTGCTACAGGCACCACAATGAGGATGAAGAGCAGGAGGCTCCTGTCAAACCCATCAGAGCACGTGCACTGACCCAGTCCCTCAGAGCTTGCTCTGCTTAGGAGTTTACCTCACCCAGTTCTCAAGGCAGCTCTAATTACACTCAGGCACAGGGCTCCGAGCCAAGAACCGCAGGAAACACAAGGGGAATCACAAAGCCAGCAGCCCAGGAGCCTTCCCAGTGCTCTGCCTGTCTGACCAAACCCTTTGCAGGCTTTGCCCCAGACCTCAGGACACGAGGTGGGAGCTCATCCTCCAAAAGCATTTGGCATTTTATAGTAAACCACCAGCAAGAGGCCAACACAAGCTTGTTATTGGCCACGAGCAGAATCTGGGCCATCTGATGTTTTAAACTTATTAATTCAGCTGCAGCTGGTAAAAGCACAGTTCTAAAAAAATGTGTGAATTCAAATAACCTGCTCGCATCTAATCCGCTCGCGTTGCTCTCTGCTGCAGTGCAGTTAATTAAATGGTTCTCGTTATAAATCCACTTTCCCCAGAAGTCTCATTAGCCAAATTAATATGATGCATATAGAGCACTTAACCCTTCCAAGAGACTGCTTTTAACAACAGCCTGGCTCTACCTGGCCACTGGAGCATCCCTCTAAGCCCTTCAGAAGGCAGAGGGGCAGAGGCAGCACGCAAAAAACAACTCGCTGTGGCAAAGTGACTGCAGGAGAAGCATCCCACAGCACATCCCACGGCACCTCTGAGTCTCTGGAACAAATGCATGATGTAAAGGAGACAGGGAACCATCTCCCAGTGAAACACACAGTGAAATCTGACTCAGAGAGGCAGAACTCTACTGGAATAGACACTGACATTTCAAAGCACACCCAAAAAGTGGGATAGTGCCCAAGTGCTGACACAAACACCTGGATACCTGAGCAGGTGAGCAGCTTGACAAAAAGAGCCCCTTTTTGGGGGTACACTGACATTTCCTGTCAGCATGAACCCCCCGCAGCCCAGGTAAAGGGGCTGAAACACATCTCCCATTATCGCTACCAGCCCCAGACCTATTGTACAACACTTCAAAGGAGATTCAGAGGTTGTATCTCAACAGCACAAAAAATACATTGCAAAAAAATAGTAATTTTAACTACAAACACCAACTTCTAGAAGAAAAGGCATCTCCTGAGTCTCCCCTCTCCAATTCCCTTCCCTCATAACCAGCAATATCTACAATTGCTCCCATTTACAACAAAAAACTTAATTTCAATTATTACAGCAGCATCCCACAAACACAAACAATTTGCCAAATCATTGGCTTGGCTTTCCTTATTAACACATACAAATTATACACACTACTCTGGGTTAAAGCAGTGTTAATTCAAGCAGGTCATGAAGTCAAAATAACAGCTCCAGCTTGCCAAGCTGAGAACACGTAGCTTTATGTGCAGGGCCCTGTTTCTCAATGGGAGCCCCCAAAAAACAGGGAGGCACATCCAAGGGTTGGCTCCTTTGCCAAGCAGGAGGAGCAGCACGGTGACTGAAGAAACCACAATTAGTAAGCATTAATAAACTGGAGAACCAAGGCAACAAAAGGTGAACAACAATCTTCTTTTACATTACAACTCAGTGCAACCTCTTCCAGCCCCTTACCTGTTTTAGGGATTTACACAGCGCTTTGCCACCTTGCAGAGCACAACCACAGCATCCGTCGGGCTGAGAGGCATCTGCAGCCTAGCAAAGCTCCTGCCCGGCTGCAGGGGGTTATCCATGGCAGTTAAAGTGTGTCAAGGCAAACAGGGCAAGCGTTCAAGGTGTCTCCGTGGCACATCACAGGAATTCTACCACAAGCACAGCACAGGAGCTCCGATGATGCAGATGTGGCTTCCTCTCGACGGCTGCGGTGCTCAGGCGCGCCCCGAAGTCTCCTGCAGCAAACACGGAGTTGTGCTCCTGCACGGGAACAGCTTTCCAAAGCTCAGGAGCCCCCGGGACAGGAGAACTACAGCACACAAGGTTTTCAGGCTGCTCCTCTCCCCGTCTGCACTACACCGGAGCGCGCGGCGGGGCCGGGACGCGAGCAGGGCACATGCACATCCGAGGCGTGTGGAACCACGTGTGGCTTCAAAACCGGTCAAAATAAGGCACTGAGACACCACGCAAAGGTTTAAATTACCGCCTCCAGCTCTCAGGAACTCTTCATCCATTCAGCACTAAACCCACAACTGCTGAAAAGCCCCTGGAGATGGAGGAGCGCCTCGCGTACGGCAGGAAAGGCTTTATTAACAGCATTTAAACACTTTTTAAGGACTCATTTCTCTTTTTCTTTTGGCAATTTTGGTGCAAAGGTGTTACGTGCAAAGATTCAAAGCAATTTCAAAACTTTTTTTTTTTTTCTTCAAACTTAAAAAAAAAAAAACCCAAGAATCAAAACTAAAGGCAAACATGTTGGGTGAACAAAATAAATCAGAGAAACTTAAAATTCAGCAACTCCAGCTCTTCCAACCAGCGAAGCCCCAGACTTGGCCACCGTTCCGAGGCGCAGGGTGGTGCTTCCCTGCTTCTTGCGTGCCCCGTCCCGCTGAGGAGAAACGCAGCAAAGTGCCCCCATTTTCACTGCAAACACGGGGGCCACCACAGCAAGGCCATCAGACACAAATTCTTCTGCCTGGTACCACAGGTCGATCAAGGCAAAAGTGTCGGTGCTCTCCCTGCTTCTTGCTCAAGACCCACAACTATCAGCTCAATTGGGCAGCAGCAGCAGGAACCCCTCCGCTGCCAACACAGGGGGGGCCAAACGTTTGTCGTCAATTCACTTCCAGGCAGAAAAACCATTTTCCTCAAAAGAAACAATTTATTTAGAATGAAACAAAATCAGCTCAACTGTGAGCGCATGTTTGAGTGACAGCTACTTTTAAGCTGTGTGAGCCATAAAAAGGGTATTCCTTTACTTTTCCAGCAATCTTGTGTACACAGCACAAAGCAAAGAGGTCATTTTTTTTTTCCACTTAAAACACGGGCATTGGCATCACAATAGCAGATACACAACTTTTTTTTTTTTTTTAAAGCTGCCATTTTAGTAAAATGCACAAATACTAAACAGATAAGCTTTCTTCCACCAGGAGGCCCATGTAAATTCCACATAAGCCACAGCTTCTCTTCCCAAAGGTCCATTAGAGCTTGGTATCCCATGCTGTTGTCTTCTGCAGTCCACCAGATTTGCTTGCAGGAGGGAAAAAAACGTTATTTCAATACAAATGTGTACACCAGATTTGGGTTTTTCCCCCTCCCTACATTATACAGATGAACATAAAGAGCTACGAGGCCTTTCTGAATATTCTACTTGGACTTTAAAAGCACCAATACCACCCATGGGCATGAAACCTCGGAATGAAGTTGCCTTCTAGGGATAGATGCAAAACAAGTAGTGCAGGGCTTCTTTTTGGACCAGGATAAAACTAGGCTTACAGTATTGATGATTACTCAACTTGCAGTAACATTTGTTGGGGCACATCGAAATCATTAACGAGGAGAAAAACCAACCTAATTCTTGTTAATTCGGTTGACTTTCCTCACTGGGTATTTCCTGAAGGCAACTTATCAACAAAATCATGAAATGTAGTGTTACACAGCTCTTTTTGCTCTCACTCTGCTGTGCAGTTCTAACAGCAGACAATGCCAATATTAAAAGGTCAAATCAAAGACACACCCAATAAAATTTAAACTTGTTACTATTCCAGTCATATCTCCTAGCCATCGTTTTTACACAATGGGAACTGCAGGAGGATGAATATTCAATTAACCATTCTCTGCACCACCCGGTCTGCTTTAAGCCTGATACAAAAATCACCTCATCGTTCAGTCTACCAATCATTGGAATATCTGTCCTTCAGTGCTATAAAGAAATAAACAGGGGGACAAAGGGGAAAGAACCCCAAAAGCTCTAGAGCCACATGGCAACCATTTCTTCCCCTCTGGGCACACAGCACTCCCCAGGAGCACTGCCCTCAACACTGTTTTGCTTAGAGCCAGGAACTATCATTTTCCAAGGCATTTTTTTCCCTGAGTCCTCAGAGTTTTTGAACTTGTCTTCACAATTTTGATTCACTCCTCCTCCTCATTAACACCTCAGGCCTTTCACCTCAGTTACCATCAACCAGAGGGTTCCCAAACCCACACAAGAAATTAAAAGTAGTTCTTTGTAGAACTTGGCTCTCCATAGAGGCCAAGAAAGTTGTCACAAAATATTCCATCTTTAACATCCTTGAAGGAAAGAAAAGAGGGAGAGGGCAAGGTTTGTCTGCCTGGCAATAATGCCCTTTTCTCTCTGGGAGGCTGACAAGGATGTGTTGGTATTTTTGCCCCTAAAACCTCTGGATTGAGGATAACCTCAGTGTTCCTGTGGCAAACAAAGCCACTGGCCAGGGGCCAAGGAAGTTGCACAAAGTTTCCAATTGAAAGAAATAAACAACAAACTAAAATCTCAAACAGAACCACGAGTCATTTGAGGTTCTTTCCCCAAAGCATAAAGCACAAGGATGAAATGATTCAGGAAAAGCACATCCTTTTTCCAGGCTAATTCAACACACTAATGAAATAGAAGAACATCAGCTGCACACAAGGTCGGGAGGGAATACTGAGCTCTCACCAGAGCAACTTAATGCCAGACACAAGGAGAAAGCCAACAACTGCTACATCTGGTTTGCTCTGCACACAGTGGTATCACCCACAGGCTTCTGAACCTTCAGCCAGCTTCAGTGGACAGTTACTCCAATGGGGAACACCTCAGACCAAGGAGGAAAGCACAGCCCGCCCAGCCGGGAATTCAGTGCTGGTAAAAAAACCTCTCAAAGTTTTGCCACAAGAACCCTCAAAGGGTGTAAAATCCTTGCTTACAAAACAGAGCAGCAACCACAAATAAACCAGATTCAAAGGAAGCAGGTGCTCCATGAAATAAGGAACCAGAAAACCTGGAGTCAAACACGGCCTCGCCCGCTCCTCCTCGCCCTCCAGCACAGCACAATTTCACAGCCACTGGCAGGTGGAACCACTGTGATTTCCCAGAAGGAAAAATGGAAGTGCACCTAGCATGCTCTTCCCAAAAGGCTTCCCAAACCAAGCTGGCTTTACAAGCTATGTTGACCCCAAGTTTTATGGGTTTTTAAGCAGGTGCCTGCTGCGGATCAGCGGAACAAATGCTGCTCTCAGTGTCCAACACAAACTTTAGTGCTTTTTTCCCCCCAGTTTTGGGCAGATGTAAATTCTCAGCTGTTTCAAGTCTCTTTCCTAGAAAACTCTTGCAAGTGATTTCTGTCATCTGACAGAAATCTCCCAGAAAACTCCCTCTGAATGCAAGCAGCACTCGCAGCATTGATCACCTGCTGACACACAACAGGCACCTGCTCCAATTAAAACATTCTTTTCAATAAGTGGTAAACACGCTGTATCTTCTTAAACACAGTGATTTGCATTTCTGGTGTCATTCCCAAAAATTCTCCTTGTTAATAGGAAGCTGAACAGCTGAATTCTGCCATCTCTTACATTCACATTGAAAGACAACCCAGAAATTCTGGATTTTACTCTCAAATTTAAGAGCATTAAATGAGGCTTTCATCTTTTCATTTAGAAAGAAAAGTAGATACAAAAAACAAAATCTGTGTTTAAGAGATGCTGCCACATTGGAATTCTCAGTTCACCACAATGTTTGGGATGCTGGGTCCACTCATTCTGGGCAAATAAAGGAACCAAAGCCCTCTTAAACCACAGCCCTCTCTGACAAATGGTGCAGTAACAAAAATTCCTATTTTTGTGACAGAAACTCAAGCAAGTTCAGTTACACCCATAAAATACATTCAAGACATTTCCTCCTTTGTCTCCTATTCGCATCCTATTCCACACTTTGAATTTGATTTTTGCCATGCAAGTTGTAACAGAAATCAACTCATGCCTGTATCAATTATCCAAGGAATCGACTGGAGCATGGACCAAGAGAGGCAGCATCACTTCTCCATTGCCCAAATCCCTGAAAACATGGCTAAGTGCAAGATTACATTCTGGGTTTAAGTGCAAGATTACAATTTTAGGGCCTGTAAAGAGATACAGTGAGATTTACACTTCAGTTTAGAAGCTGCTGCAACATCCTTTTGTCTGTTGAACAGAGTATCATGGAATTAGATCACATCAGGGATTGAGATCCCTTCTCCCCTCCTAAATGCCTGAATTACCAAAGGTGGCTGAGACAGCTGGAGAAAAGTGCCCAATGATTGGGGAAATTAGGAAAAAAATTAACTATGTTATTTGGAAAAAAAAAAAAAAAAACAACTAACCTGCAAACTGTTTCATCCTTGAATCACAAGAACAAGAGCTCAAACCTCAGCACCTCAGAGTATTTTTAATATTTCTCCAGGATGCTAAAACCACTTAACTCCAGGTGCCCATGATAAACCTCATGTAATGCCCACTGCACACTGTACCTGAAAAGTCCCTAGCAGACAGCAGTTCCTTGCTATTAACAAAGAGGTAAAATGTTAATGAGAACTTTTATGTAATTAAATTATCACAGAATGAAAAGCATCTCTGGAGAGAAGCACTTACTTGCTCAGTTTGCATTGTGGAACCAGACCCTACTGAACCTGCAACTCTTAGAAAACAAAACAAAACAAAACAACAAAAAAAAAAAGGCAGTAAAACCAAAACCCCACAATATAACTCAAGTTCTCCTTAAAGCACCTCCTTGTTTCCTGCACACCAGAGTGAGCACAAGACATTCCTGGTTTGCAACAAAGTCCTCAGCTCTTCACCAAACCTAGCCACTGCTACAAACCCAAAGTGCACAAATGGGATACACCGGGAAATCAGGGAAATACACCTGTTAAAAAGCCCAGTTTCAGTGCATGCACCTGGGGGGGCTGGATGAAAAAGGAATCCCTTTCCAAAAAGGAATTCAGTGTTCTGCTGAGTACCCGAGAGAGCAGCTGCTGCTCACCTGGAAAACGTCGACCTTGAGCCACGCGACTCAACGGGGAAACCACTGCGGCTCCCGAGGGAAGGGATCCCAAAGGGCCCCTGGCCTGAGGCCCACACGGAATTTCAAGGACTCAAAAGAGGAGGTGACACCAGTCTGTTATTAAAGTTATGGTTTTCCATTTCCACTGAGTGCTTTAAATCTGGTCTGTTCGGTTTGGAGCTCTCTCGAGGACGAGCTCTTGGGATTTGCTTTAAAATACATGAAATGAAAAAAGGACATGAATCTAAATTAAGAAGACAGGAGTTTTTCTTTTAACCCCCCTCCCCCCCACCCCCAGTTTTTATTATTTTTCTATTTTCTGTAAATCAAAGCAGGCTGAGCCTCCCTGCTGTCCCCATTGATAGGGAATTCTCAAAATATCCTATTCACACTACTCCTAACCGACCTCTCTGGCTTCTATCTTTATAGAAAAATGTAGTAACAGAAAATCGGCCCGGGAAAGTCACCTACAAACAAAGATCTATTTAAAATAACGACAGGGCTGGCTAAGGCTGTATCCCATAGCACCTGGCACACGCTGGAGGGGCTGCATGGAGGAGTAGGCAGGGTTGGGAACAGAACATGAGGGCCTTAGGATGCCCCACGGACAATGATCATGACCAGATAGTCGTCCTCTGATTTGGCCAACGCCTTGGCCGTGGAGTCCAGGAACTGCTGGGAGAAGTCGCAGGGCGGAAAGGCGTGCAGGACCCCGCTGTTCTCCTTGTCTTTGTTCCCCCCTACAGGGAGGCTGATCACCCCAGCAGCCTGCTTTTGCTTTAGGTAGGACACCAGATTCCTGAGCGGCCTCTGCGTGGAGGTGGTGGCGGCCTCGGCAGCCCCGGCTGCGGGGCGGCTGTCGGAGGCGCCGGGCACGGCCAGCAGGATGGCGTATCCATTGGGACCCGCCACCTTGATGCGCCGGTTGACCTCGTCCAACTTGGGCTGGTCCAGACGGAGACGTTGGGTGATCTTGAGCTGAGCCACTTTCCCACCAGTCGCTCCCTCCACCAGGAGGCTGCTGGCGACTCCGAGGTCCCCCTGGAGCAGGTGCATGTTGGACGGGAAGTTGCTGTTCTTCAGCAGGAGCATCCCCTGCCAAGCCAAGCACAGCTTGGGTGCCGCCCCGGCCTGCGCTGCTCCATCCTGCTGCTGTTTTTGGGGAGGAGGTTTGAGCCGGGAGCCTCCACCACCACCCTCTGCTGCCCTCTCGTCCTTTTTGGCCGGACTTTTGCACTCCTGGGCAGCAGCAGCGGCGCGATGCTTGCGCTCCCGCTCTGCGGAATTCTTGCGGTCGCGCTTTTCGTTCTGCCCCCGCTCCAGGCTGCCCCGGCGGGACTCCCGGATGGGGGACGGTCGCTCCACGAGGAGCAAGCGGGATGAGCGCTCAGGGTCACTACTGTAACGCTCCCGGCCCCCCAGGAGCTCGGGGCTGCGGTCCGGGGGAGAGGTCGTGGCCAAGCAATGGCGCTTTCGGGAGGAAGAGGAGCGCTCGCTGTCAGGGGAACGGTCCAAGTGCCGGCCTCCATCCTCGGCCAGCCTCCGTTTCCTAGGCTGATCCCTACTGCTACTGCCCAGCTCCCTCTCCCGGTCCCGCTCCAAGGACCAACCGTCCCGGCGGCGCTCCAGGCTTTCCAGTGGGTCATAGGCAGCTGCCCGATTACTCCGGTCCCGCACAGGGGGCGGCGGGGGCACCCACTCTGTCTCAGAATAAAGGTCTCTGTCACGGTCTCTATAGAGCAAAGGTGGCGTCCTGTCCCGGGCCCCCCGTAGAGGGTCAGGGGGGGCTCCCCGGTGAGCCCCAAAAGCAGCCGCCTCCGCCACGAGCTCGTAATGAGCTGGAGGTGGCAAGGGCAGGGGCTGCAGGTAGGGCTGCTGGTACCGATGCTCCGTGTCGGCAAAGTCCACGCGGAGCCGGCGATCCGGCCCCCCCAGGGGGAAGCCCCGCATGTGGGTGCAGGCTGCCTGGGCAGCGTCCAGGCTCTCGTACTGGATATAGGCCCAGGAATCCCCTTTGCGGTAATCGATGGTGCGGATGGTGCCAAACCGATCAAACTCCCTGGCCAGGGCAGCCAAGGGCACCCAGGGCCCCAGGCCGCCCACCCAGAGCCGGGTGGTCGGGGTGGCTTTGCCGTACCCGATCTTGATGGGGTTGCGCAGCAGCACCTTCCCTGACATGGCCAACTTGGCCCGGTGTGCCATGTCCAGATTCTCAAACTTAAGAAACCCATAGGTGCTGGTCTGCCCACGCCCCGGCCTCTTGATGTCCACCTCAGTGATGACCCCAAAACGGTCAAACGCTCGCCGCAAGTCCGACTCGCTCACGGTGATGTCCAGGTTGCCCAGGAACAGCGTGCGGTTGGCTCTCTGGTCATCCTCGGGGCTGATCTCCTCCTCGGTGGCCGCTCCGGCACCTCCTCCTCCTCCTCCGCGGAACCCCCCGGCCGCCGCCACACCGGCCACGCGCTCCAGCCCATAGGCCGGCCGCACCCGCGCCTCGTAGAAGCCGCCGTAGTCCCGCTCCCTCTCCAGCTCCCTCGGCAGCGGCGGCGGCGGCGGGAGCCGGCCCAGGGCGAGCTGCTGCAGCCGGTAGTCCCGGTATCCCAAAGCTCCTCCGCTGCCCGCCGGGGACAGCGCTCGCTGCGCGGCCCCGGCCGGCGGGTGCCGCACGGCGGCCGCCACCGCGCCGACCGCCGCCGTGCCGTAGGGAGACTCCTTGTCCAGCAGCGCCGGGGAGCGGCTGCTGCGCCGGCGGCCGCTGCCTCCGCCGACATAGACGGCCTCGATCTTGAGCGGGCGGTCGTAGAGCACGAGGCGGCCGCGGGCGTGCTTGGCGGCCCGCGCGTCCTCGGGCCGGCGGAAGTTGACGAAGGCCACGCGCTCGTCGGCGGCGCCGGCGCCGGGAGGGAGCCGGCTGATCTTGACGCTCACGTCTCCGAAGCGCTTGAACTCGTGGAAGAGCCCGTCCTCCACCGCCTCGTCGCTCAGCGCCGAGCCCAGCTCGCTGATCTTCAGCGTCTTGTACTCGCCGCCGCCCGGCTCCGACGAGGAGGACGAGGAGGAGGCGGCAGCGGCCGCTCGCGATTCGCCGCCGCGGCTGCTGCTGCTTCGCGACGCCTCCGCGGTTTTACCGCTGTAGCCGTGCCGGCCCCCGCCGCCCGCGGCCGCCGCCGAACCGCTCTCGTACTCGCGGCTGCCGGCGCGGCCGCCCTTGTCCGCGTGGGCGCCGCGCCGGCCGCTCCCGCTGTTGCTCTCGCTGGACGCCGCCGCCGCTTTCCCGCCGTTGGAGCCGCCGCCTCCGCCGGACGAGCCGCTCGGCTTCTTGCTGCCGCGCGAGGAGGAGGAGGAGGACGCCGAGTCCTCGCCGCCCCGGGAGCGCTTGGCCTTGGCGGGCGAGCGCTCCTTGCCCTTCATGGCGGCGGCGGCCGCGCTCCCGCCGGGCCTCCCCGACCGCCCCGCTCACGCACCCGCCGCCATCTTGCGAGCCGCGCCGGTAGCGCGCGCCGCCCCCCCCGCGCCCATTGGCTGCTCAGGGCGGCGCCCTCGCCCATTGGCTGGCGTCGCGGGGATGCTCCGCCCACCTCCTAGCGCTGCGCGTTCCCATTGGCCCGCTGCGCTGTCGGTCTGCCAGCCAGCCCCGTGCTCCCGCGGGGGGGGCGGGAATTGCCGCCGTCGCGCGCCTCCCAGCCCCGCTCGCTCATTGGACAGTTAGAAAGGGCGCGGCGATCTCATTGGACGGGCCTACCTGTCAATCGTGGCTGTTCAACCGTGGGAGGATTTTGGCTGCCCATTGAACACTGGGCTGAACTTAGCCCCGCCTTCTGATTGGCTCGCTTACCTGCCAGTTACAATAATGGTTCTGCGGCCCCGCCCCACCCCTTGCCATTGGCTCTCTCCCTTAGATATGAGTTCCCGTCGTACCTCTCAAAATCTCGCGAGTTTCTCTGTCCCCGCCTCCTTTGCTCATTGGTCAGTAGTCAACATGTCGCCCTGATCTGATTGGTTAATCCCTACGCCGCTCACGAAAAAGCGCGCCCCACCCCGCAACTCCGTTCCTGGTTTATCATTGGGCGAGAAATCGTCCCCAGGCGTCTGATTGGGTGCTTATAGACAGAGCGCTGATTGGCTAGAACAAAAATCAATCAGGCTTGTTCTGGCTCTGATTGGTCGCTGCGGGGAGAGGGGCGTTCCTCGGCAGAGCTCGCGGTGCGGCGGCGCCTGAGGGCTCAGAGCGCGGCTGGTCGTGGTGCGGAGTGGAGCTGCTCTCATGCTCCGTGTCCCTGCCCTCAGCCCGCCGGTGCTTCCACCCCGGTGGGCTGAACCCACCGCGGGGGGACAGGAGAGAGCCTGGCTGCATTCAGTGCCTGCCTCACCCTCTCCCTGTTTCCCTCTCCCTGTTTCCCTGTGGGTGTCTGCGCCAGGCAATGCAGGGAAGCGCTCCCGGTGGATGCGGCATCCCCGCAGCTCCCTGCGGCTCCCTGGGGCCGGGCCCGCCCTGCTCTGCCCGGCGTGGAGCCCTGCGTAACTGCAGGGAGTGTCTGACAACACGGTCACTCCTTGCTCGGGGCCTGCAAACCGATTTAAATATTTCCCATTTAAAGCTTCACATCCCAGTGGTTATGCTGCTACATTCCTGCGCTCACCCGCAGTCCCATATTTCCTTGGGGAGTTGGAGCTCAGAGGTTCTCAGAGATGAGGAAGAAGTTTGGGTTAGGTCTGAGGTGAAGGAGGCCTCAGGGTCAGGGAATCCCGGCTCCCGTCGAGCAGGAGTCCTTCTTATGCCTGTATTTCGTGTGGATCCCTCTATAGTGCTTGTATTTTGTGAGGATCCCTCTATAATCCCTATATTTTGTGAGGATCCCTTTATATTCCCTATATTTTGTGAGGATCCCGCTGCCACCTGTGGCCCTGGGTGCTTCCTCCTCTTCCTCCTGCTCTGCTCTGCCTGTGGGAAATGTAGATGAGAAAAATAATATATTCAAATGGGGAGAAAGCTGCGGCAGGGCTGGATCCCACAACCCTGCTGGAACTGCTGCCCCTGCATCCTACAATCCCATAAATCATCCCCCTTAACACCAATTTCCCCCAATAAAACCATAAGTTCAACAGCCAAACTCCAATTTCACCCTCAACCCTCCAATTTCACAACCAAGCTGGATTCCCCCAACCCCCAATTTCACACTCCAAACCCTCATTTCTCCACCCAAACCCAAAATTCATCCCCCTTTAAAAGCTTTAATTGTCCTGCCTAAACTCTGATTTTACACCCCAAACCCTAATATCCACAACCCCCTCTTATTCCATCCTTCAAATCCCAATTTCATACTCCAACCACTCATTTCACCCCCTAAATCCTAATTTCATCCCCTGTAACCTAATTTCACCCACCAAACCCTCATTTCATTCTCCCAAACCCTGATCCTGACATCCCAAATCCCAATTTCTTCCCCCAAGCACAAATTTCATGCCACCAGATCCTGATTTTTATCCTAAACCCCTATTTTCATACCCCAAACATTAATTTTGTGCCAACAAACCCTAATTTCAACCCACGAACCCTAATTTCACCCCATTATATTCCAATTTGATCCCATCAAACCCTATTTCACCCTCCAAACTCCAATTTCATCCCCACAACTGCAATTTCACTTCCAAATTCCAATTTCACCCCACCAAACCACAGCTTTGTTCTCTCCAACCCCAATTTCACCGTCCAAACTTTAATACCATTCCACAAATCCCCAGTTTCACCCCCAAATCCCAATTTCACTCTCCAAACTCTTCATTTCACCTTCTAAACCCCAATTTCACCCCCATCAAACCCAAGTTTGATCCCCCCAAACCCCAATTTCACCCTGTAAACTTTAATACCATTCCACAAATCCCCAGTTTCACCCCCAAACCCCAATTTCACTCTCCAAACTCTTAGTTTCACTTTCTAAACTCCAATTTCACCCCACCAAGCCCCAGTTTGATCCCCCAAACCCCAATTTCACCCTCCAAACTCCAGTTTCACCCCCACAACTGCAATTTCTCTTCCAAAAAAAATTTCACCCCACCAAACCCGTTTCACCTCCAAACCCTATTTTCACTCTCCAAACTCTTCATTTCACCTTCTAAACCCAAATTTCACCCCACCACACCCCAGTTTCACTCCCAAACCCCAATTTCACTCTCCAAACAGTTTCACATTACAAACCCAAAATTTACCCCACCAAACCCCAATTTGATCCCTCCACCCCTTAATTTCACTCTCCAAACTCTTAGTTTCACCTTCTAAACCCCAATTTCACCCCAACCAAACCCCAGTTTGATCCCTCCAACCCCCAGTTTCACCCCCAAACCCCAATTTCACCCTCCCAGTTGCCATTTTCACTCCCCAGGGCTAACTGGAGAATTATCCAGTCATTCTTTTGGCCTGCCATCTAAACATATCAAGATCCAGCAGTTCCTGAGAAGGAATTCCCTGGAGTAGGAAGGACTCATGGAAAACTGTGATGCTCCAGCTCCTTTGGACCAGGTGTGACAATCCCAGCATGAGTGTTGGAAATCAGGAGAGCAGGAGAGGTACAATGTTCCCTCTCTGGAAATCTGATGGCTCTCAGGAGTTAATCCAGCACAGGGAGGATGGAATGGGATATTTTAGCTGTGGCTGTCCCTGCCTTGTCATCTTTTGGCACCCTGAAGTCGTGGGAGGGTTTCAGTGGTGGGTAAATGGCTGATTTTGAAATCATCCAATGTTGGAAAAGCTTTCCAAGATTATTGAGTCTGACCTGTGCCTGATCACCAGCCCAGAGCTCTGAGTGCCACCTCCAGGGATGGGCACTCCAAACCTCCCTGGGCTGGCCTGAGCACCTTTCCATGGGTTTCACAGCAGCACCTCCCTTCCAGAGCTGCTGGAAAGGCTTTTGGATTTGACTGAGGAGTGAGAGCCAGCAGCCAGCATGTTTTAGGGAGCAGAATATCCCAATGTACAAGAAGAAAGCATCACTGCAGTCTGGATCAGATATCCCCACATTCCTGCAGAGATTCCTCCCCTCCAGCTCCTCTCCTGCATCTCCAGTTGTGTCTGCAGGATTATGGAACCTCAGACTGGTTTGTGTTGGGGGGACCTTAAAGCTCATTTCCTTCCTGAGCAGGGGTGCCTTGCCCTAGCCCAGCTTGCTCAGAGGAGCAGAGGAATCACTCAATGAGATGAGAGAAAAGTGCACAGAAAACCATAATGTGCCATATTTCAGCTTCATCTGAAATTTTTCACTTACATCTGGTAAAACCTGGCACAGCTCCATGGCTGAAGAAGAAATGCACCATTTTAACAACAAGTGATAGAGAGACTTCTGTCTCCAAGGTCCTCTCCCCTTCCCAATGGTGCCTGGGGTTGGGAGAGAAAGACAGGGATTAAAATTCCTCAGCAGATGAGTCACAGGGTAAAAGACACCTTGGGGGGGAGCACTGGGCCACATCACCACAGGAACGGGCCCTCCTGATAGACATTTAATCTGATTTCACTCCTGGACTGCTCCTTCCTAGGGGAGACTTCTCCTCCTGGATTTTTCCTCCTCCGCATCAGCTGCCGGGGCTGTGGATCTCTGTGGATCTGCACGGATCTCTGTTTGGCAGCTCTGGTGTGTTTTGGAGCAGGTTTGGCGTTGGGAAAAGGCATCTCAGCACTGGGAAGGAGCTCTGGAGAGGATCACGTTTGTCAGGCCATGAAAAACGATCTGGCACAAGCAGGAATCTTCCCCTGGGCCCAGGCTGGAGAAGGAGCGCTGTGCTCTGCTCTGCCTGTGCTTAGATAAAAGTGTATGAATAATTCAGGTGCCAGATGGCCCTTGAGCCCCTGGCCTAGATCTAAACATCTAATTACAGCTGGTGTCCCTGGGACTTGGGCATCCAGGTCCCTCTGCAGAGCTGGGCTCGTCCCACAGGATACCTGGGTGTCGCAGAGCCACAGAAATTGGCTGTTCCCTGGGAAGAAAACCAAACCAAAAACAGAAAAAAAAAACCCCAAAAACAACAAAACAAAAAAATCCTAATAACAACAAAACAAAAAATATCATCTTGGGGTTTAACTGTGTGTTTTCCTTTCCAAACCCAGCTGGAGCAGATCGCAGAGGAGCAGGTGGGGCTGATGGAGGGAGGAGGAGATGCAGTGGGCTCCTTGGATGGATCCCAGAGCTCCCTCTCCAATCCCACAGTTCCAGGCTGTGAGCCCCTCTGCTGGGGAGGCATTTGCCTGTTTGCAGTTTTGCATTCAGCCGAGCTGCCGAGATGTGCTCGTATCCCAGCTGCCTGTTGGAGACATGGAAATCCATTAGCTCCACTTAGGCGAGGCCACAAGAGCCCTCCGGGGAGCGGCGCTGCCACGATCTCCGAACTGGAACGGAGGCGCAGCTTCCCTCGGAACGGTGGCAGCGATCCCCGCAGTGGCCCGGCCCTCGCCTTGGCCAGCAGGACAGAAACCGGA